CACTGATGGCCTAGGGGTCCCTTTCTTTCTTGACCTTGATGTCTCCAGCAAGGATGGTAGCGATCTCGCCCTGCATGAAGGCCCAGGGGACAGAGGAGCCCACCAGCGGGCACTTGTCTCCGCTGGGGCAGTACACCTCTCCGGCTGGGCCCTGCGCCTTGATGAACTCTCGGGAGCAAGGAAAGCAGAACTTGTGTCCGGGTACTGAGGGACACTGCACGAAGTGGGTGTCTTCCAGCCTCTCTCTGCACAGGGTACAGCACAAGGGGGCTCCAGGGGTCGCCCCTGTGCCGCTACCACCCCCGCTGACAGCTTCAGCCCCGGCAGTGGGGCTAACTTCTGCCTCTCCGTTGCGCGCCACAAGGCGATGCTGGGTTGGTGGTTGGGTCGTGGAGGAAGCTGCAGGGCTAGCGCCACCTGTACGCACAGGGCCTCCACCCCCACCAGCGTCCTTCGGTGAGTGGCCCAGGGCCTCGGCTACATTCTTGAGGGCAGCAATGGGTGAGGGTACACCAGGTGTGTCTGTAGAGTATGGGCCACCTGGTGCCACCCAGTGCCGCTGCTGCTGTTCCTCTGTAGTCATCTTCCCAGCTGATTCGCCCTCGGGCTCAGGGGATGCCTTGCGCCGGCGAGGCGTGGGTGCCAGGTTCCGGGATGGGGCTCGAGGTGGTGGGCCACACAGAGCAGCTGGGGCCGGTTCTGGGTACTGCTGGGGCAGGGCCTCCGCAGGAGCAGGCTCTCGGAAGCTGCGGACCCCATCGGTAAGCAGCTCTCCCAACTGGCGCCATTCCCCTGAGCCGTGGCGGCGTTCATATTCGAGGTACTTGAAGCCCGATGAGGCCAAGGCCTTGCCCGGCTCTCGAAGAGCATCATGAAACATCTGGCGAGCCACCGCAAGGACCCCTGCGTACACATTGCCAGAACCACAGGGGTATTCAGTGAAGAGCTTCAGCTCGAACTCGTAGCCAGGAGGTCGGGCAGTGGCATCAAAGGCGAACACCCTTCCCACCAGTCCGTGGTCCTTCTTGAAGCGGACATTGAAAGGGGCACAGGCGGACAGCGCCAATAGCTGTTCTCGCACAGCCTTGGGACGCCCATGCCACTCCTCCGCCCGGCCCCGCATGGCCTCGTTCAGTTCTGCCAAACAGTCCGCATTCCTCTGCTGCTTCTCCTTCTCGAAATCGGAGCCGAAAAGTGGACGAGCGGGGCTTAAGCCAGGTGCCAGCGTCAGGGCTCGGCCTCCGAGGCCAGACACAGCAGCTGCCAGCAGCCCGGGGGGCATCAAGCTGGGGATGGAGCCAAGCAAAGCCCTGCGTGCCCCTTCCGCCACGGCCTCCTCGCGGCCCAGCCCGTTGGCCAGGCGAGACCCCAGGGTGTACTCCAAAGCCGGCGAAGGCAGCGCCAGGCGGCTGGATGAAGTAGCCCTGTCATAGCGGTCCGGGCCTGAGACGCTACCTCCGGTACCCGATGGCTGCGCCTGGGCCTGCGGGGGTGGCAACTGGGAGCCCTGGGAGCCCGCGGTGGCCAGGTCCTTGGAGGTCGGATGCTTGAGAGCAGGGGGTCCCGGCGAGCGGCCCTCAGGGAGCACGTGGCTGCGCTTGAGCTGGCGGGCGGCGTCGATGAGCAGCTCGATGCGGTCCGCGCCCTCGAAATTCACGCATCCACGGCACACGGCCTCGCTGAAGTCCCACACCATGGCCCACGGCATCTTGGGCAGGTCGCACAGGTAGCACCACTGGCGGCGGGACGCTTGCACGGACGCCATGGCGCCCCCCGGAACGCCGCCAGGTGCCCCCGCTGTGCACCCTCCGCCCACGTTCGCTCCGCCGAGCCCGGGGACGGGCGCGCGAGACACTCAGTCTGGCCTCCGGCTCGGCCTCCCCGCCGGATTCAGGCCCGGCCCCCCTTCCCCGCCCCCTGGGCCCTCAGCCTTTTTTTTTTTTTCCTCCTCACTCCCGCCTCCCGTGGAAAAGGCAAGCCACGAGCACGCACGTCGGCGCCCCCGTCCGGTCCGCGCCGTGAGCCGAGATGCACAGCTCCAGCTCTTCGATGGGCCTCGGGTGCCGCCGCCCCGGGCTCCCGCCTCTCGCGCTGCTACCGACGCCGCTGCAACGGCCACCGCCGCCGCCGCCTCCACCTCCTTCTTCTGCCCCAGAGGCCGCTTCGCAGGGAAAGTTACATAACGCGCGGGCAAAGCCTTCTGGGAAATGTAGTCCCGTAGGGGCTGCTTCTTAAAGGGGACTGGGCAGAAAGCAGTGGCGGGAAGAGTGGGCGCGCGCAGCCTTCTGCATGCTTAATCTTTAATGTGCTTCGCCATGAAGCCGGGGTTCGCACACAGGGTTTACGGGACGGATCATGGATTCAGAAATGCTTGGAGCGGACAAGTTCTAGGCATGCAATTTTTTCCCCCTTCTTTTTTGAGATTTGGACTTATTCTTTACTTTAGGCTGGCCTAAAGGCTAGCCTTTGTAGCCTAGGCTGGTTTCAGACTTGCTGCAATCCTTCTGCTTCAGCTTCCCTAGTGTTGGGATTACAGTCATGAGACTCCATACCCAGAACCCGGCAAACATTTTCTGCTCTGACTTGCTGAGCAGTTTTAGAGAAAAGTCTTGCCCTCTCTGAGAATCCCGCCCCTTCAGAAGGGCCAATGACGGGTTAGGAAGGCAGCAGCAGTTTGAGATGGGGCGGAGAGGTTCTGATTGGATGGTTTTAAGTTTAAGGGAACGGGAAACAGGCAAGTGTCTTGGAGAGGGGTGTCTACTTGACACTTTGTCGTCCCCCGGAGTACTTAGCCTAGAGGGAGGCCCACTGGCAACAGTATGAGAAGAGAAAGGGCTGAAGGCTTCAGAGCCAGGGCCTTATCTGTTAAAGGAGGAGCACTGAGCGCCTTCCAAGTCTGCTCCAGCTGTGCACGCGCTTTGGTCATCAAAGGGTTACACAGTCAGCTTCCCCGCGCTCCCCCCAATTTCACTACAATTCCCAAAATGCTCTGCAAGACGGACGAAATGACGCACTTCCTCTGCTTGGAAGGTTGGGGGAGGCCTTCCCGATTCTTGCCCCCCCTTCCCCGTTTTGCTAAAGGGAATCTCCCCCCCCCCTCCCGCCATGGGAATGGGGTGGGGGTGCTTGGATTTGGATTGGGAGATCATTAGTGGCTGCAGGGAGGGGAACGCCAGACCCTCAAATGCTTAATGACCTGGTGGGCCCCACCTGCCTCTGGGTACCCCATGTTTTCTCAGATTATAGGGGAGAAGCGATGATGTATGTCGTCAGGTTTTTGTTCACATCAGCCTTTTCCCTTCACTCGGCCCGGGTCCCCGCTGATGCTCCCAAGAAATATCTGAGTATCTTGTCAGTTTGCATTCATTCATCCGGGTTTGCACTCCGTAGAAGCTGCCTTTCTCACCCCATCCCAGGGTTGTCACAGCAGCCCAGGAGTTCTGCTATTTCGGCGTCACAATTTTACCTACCACCTGCACTACTATTTTAACACTTTTCTCCTTTAAACGAATTGCCTATTTTCGTCGTTTCCTGGGATATACTATGTTCGCAACCATTGGTTTCTTGTACTACTGTTTATTTACTTTCTCTTGCTTATTCTTGGTGCTGGGATGGAATCCAGGGCCTTATGCTAAGTGTTCTGCCGCCGTATTTTTTGTCTTGTTTTGAGACTGGGTCTCACTAAGTGGCCCAGGCTGGCGTGAAGCTTTGGATCCTCACGAAGGCTGAGATTTCAAAAATACTTAAAACTATGCCTGGCTTCAATTTTTTCTTTTATAAAAACAGGCTTCGCAGGCTAAACGGTGGTGCACGCTTTTAATCCTAGTACTCCATAGGCAGAGGCCGGCGGATATCCGAGTTCGAGGCCAGCCTGGTCTACAGAATGAGTTCCAGGACAGCCAAAAAAAAAAAAAAAAAAA